ACTAAATGAATTGAATTTTAAAATACGGAAGAGCAGCAGGAGACAGAGAAATTGAAGCTCCTTAAAATACTTTCACAGCAACATTTCAAATGCTTTCTTTTTTTTAAATTGTGATGGTAAGTTCCAATCAACCAGTCTCAAATATTCTATTTTCCACCTCACACCCCCTTGTCATGGTGTGAGCTGAAGCTGAAATACAGTTATGGAACAGTAAAATGCATTTAGCCAAACCGTGACAAAAAAGTGATGAATCACTGAAAAAATGTGACCAGGACAAAACTACTGCAATGTGAGGCAACCATAGCACAAGAAATGTACCTAGGCTGAACATGGGAAGAATCAGGAACTGGAAAAGTAGGGCAAGAACTGGTGGGTGGTGGGCAGAGAGCCCCCTACTGCACCCCTCACACCAGGGTCCCTGACACATATCACCGAATCTGACAGTCTAAGAGCCATACCTGTAATGCTAAATGACAGCATCCTGGAATGAACCCACCATTCTAAAAACTGAATAAAGCAACCATTCCTCGACCAGCCACACATCTGGCCTACAACCAACCAGCTCTTGAAACATCTGTTTTCATACTTACTGCCCTACAGCCATTCCCAACTGATGGATAATGCTAGAAACACACCGTAGGTCAGCAAGTGTTCTAAAATTGTGGACCAGGATGTTTTCATTGTTTAAACATCATAGGCAACAGTGCTGCACCTAAGGAAAAGAGTCTACACCATCCTTATCTCTATATAGTATAGAGATAAATCTTAATGTGCTTTACATTGTTTTCTTAAATAACTTCATAAATAACTTCTTAAATAACTTCATAAATTTAAAGTTGGTAAAAAAATCCAAGCAGAACACAAATGACAATGAAACTTGAGCAGCACAAAAAATACTTGTGTCAGAGTTTGCCATGCAATCACCTTGTCCTAGAATCCCAGGGGAAAAAGTGAAGTGCAGACCAAAAATTTAATGTTTTTACTACCTAAGAAAATCTGTCTGCTCTCAACCAAGGCCAAATCTATCTTTATGGGTCAGTAAAGCAGCTTAATGCAAGCCTACCATGAACTTTTGATAATAGATGCTGTTTCATACGACACTGTAAGGTTCCTTTTTTATTTTGTTTGCAAGAGACTGGCTCTTGAATATCAAAATGCATCTGCTTTTCTTTGGTGATTGCAATTCTTTGCCTTTATAATAATAACACATTGCAAAGACTGTTTAGTTCAATGTGTTCAAAAACCTTCGTCACATGAAGTCAAAGAAGAAAGGAGGTTTCAGCTGACCGGTTTTGTGAAACAAAAAAACTCAAAGAGTTGCATACAGGATTTGCACATACAAAAGCTCAGCTAGCTCTTCAGCAGCTTACTCAGCCCCAATGACAAGTAAAATTACATCTTTTGGAGTGCACAGGGAGAGACCATCTAGATCAGGTATAGTGCCTAGAGAAATATAAATGTCCACGCTTTACACATTATAATGGGAAAATAATGTTCAATACCTTTTACAAACAATTAAGCTTATAATAATAAACAAATGGTAGGTCTGTTGGTCCATACTTCCTCAAGAGATTAATTGTTAGATTCCACAAGCACATCATTTAAAATGTATTTGTACTTGCAGATCACATTCAGTACAAAAGGGATCTCTCTTGCAAAACAAGCTCAGTTGCCAAAATAAGCAATGGATGAAAAAATACCTGAGGAATAGTTTGCATCGAAGCTTTAGCTTGAGTCAGAAAGAAATCTTCTTACTACTTTCTGTATAAGTAACATAACTGTAAAAAGTTTTGAGACATATTATTATAGTGGGAGCGCTCTGTCAGAGGATTTAAAACAGCCAAGATCCAGGCCATCTGCTGAGACTGACACAGTCTTCCCATGCTTCTAGGACAAGTGTCTTCTTTCACCCTTACTGCTGTGTCTGGTTGAAAAGATGACTGAAATCTGAACTTATTCTCTACCCCTGATCTCTCTCCAAAAAGTCTAAACTAAGATGGGATGTGACAATTCTATGGAACTACCTTGTTGCAAAGACAACCAAACAGGAATTGAAAAATTAGATTTTTCCTAGAAAACTTATTCCAGCCTTCCATAAAGAACAAGTACCACAGTGCAAGAGACATGTCACCACTTATTTGCTGGGATAAACAGCAAAACACAGAGGAAAAAACATTGCCATGTCAGTAAAACACTTGAGCCAGATACAATTTGCCAATACAGGCACTCTCTCACTCTTCACAGCGGCAGCTACTCACTGCCTTTAGCTCTGATTTCATCTTTTCTTTCTCCCTCTTCATGAGGCACAGCTCACCCTTCTGACTGTCATGAACACTCCTAGTGAACTGAATTTGTGTCACTGTGAAAATCAGCTGAGTGGCACATCAATCTGATGTTAAAGTCACAAGAGAATGAAGGGCCTAAACTGCTGTGCTGCTGCTATTGCTAAGGTGAAAAAACTACAAGCAGGCAAGGAAGTGTCCAATGCACGTAACAGCGTAGCAGTGAGAAGAGAGAGATGTGGCTTTTAATGAAACAAACGGGGATTTTATTGCTGAAATTCAATCTAAAATAAGGCCTTACAAAAGCAAAATACCTTTGTGGGCTAGAGCATCAATGACTGCTACAAGGCTTCATAGAAAAACATGATTTTTTTGTTTGTTTGTTGATGAAAATCTGACAGAATCAAAGACAATACTGCTGCTCCTCCTTTTTTTATTTCTAAGTGAATGCCTGAAAAAAAAACAAAACAAAATAAAACAGAACTTGCTTCCTCACATCATTTTAACATAAATACACTTAGACATAAAAACTTCTGTAACCAGCCCCCTGAAAGTTCATTTTTAGGATTAAATGATTAGGGCATGAAAACATTTGTGTTACTCATAATCCCAGATAAAAATTGGTAGACTATTACTAGGGTTTCATCTCATTTTTATGACTCCTTTGCCCAAATAAATCAATCACATAAAGTTAAACTCAACACCGGGAGTTAAGCTCTCCACAGAGACTGGAGATTGCAAACATAAGTCAAACAGGAAGAATGAAAGCTGAGATAATAGATGGTTTATACTCGTTTACTTCAAAGGTCGGAGAGATGGCTGAAAATATTAAGATAATTTACAATGAACAATGATTCCAGAAGAAATAATAGAAGCCTCTCTCAATTGTAAGTAAAAAACCCACAACTTCTACAACTACTTCTCCAACTGCACAGAATTTGTATTATATCAAGAATCTTCTAAGGATATGCTGCAAAACAATCAGCCTTAAAACTAGCCTTTAAGTAGCAAGCCTATTGTTGTACTGATAACTGGCAGCATCAGGAGATTTAGCTAAAGCCTTCCATGAAGACAACTATCTTCTCAGCAAGGGCACATTCAGTTAGTCACACTGCACATTATTAATGAGATTCACAGATAATAGTGAATCCAAACCACTGCATTTTCGGAGATAATTAGAAGCAACTTCCTCAAGTTATTTTTCTTGTTCTAGATATGTAAAAATAATTTTCTTTTTCACCCAAATACTGTTTTAATACAAAATATAGTCCTACACACATATTCAAGTATTCAGAAAAAATACTGAAGAACAGACATGCATCCAAAGGTATGTTTTTTGGTTCAGAACTATGTTTCCTGTGTTGGAGGTTAGGAAAGTGCAACACTACTACGTACAAACATTTTACCATTCCTTCCCTCCCTCCCACAATTACAATCTCTTACTTAGATCATAATTAAGTGAGATAATGATTTTATTCTCTGCCTGTGCACACTGCAATTAACTAGTTTCATTAAGATTCACAAAACTTGGTCAAAGAAGACTCAGGACTGGAAGAAGAAGAAAATGCTGGGGGTCAGAAATTGAATTTACGAATAAATGTCATGGGAAAGCTTAGGTAGTGCCTATGTGAAGGAGATTTGCTCAATAAATATACATCAGCAATATAGTATAATCCTGCTGACTCATCAGTATTTAATTAGCTTTTCCCAGTTTTAAAAAATTGTTCTTTTTTCTTTGTAAAAAAGACCCAAGCAACAGAGAAACATGAATGGCTACACAGAAACAACAACTATCTCTACAATGTTCTGGTCATTGCATAAATAAACTTGGGAAAAAATATGAGTTACAAAGTTATGATCAATTATAAAATGCAGATGTCATATTTCATAGCCTCTGAATAAGAAATATCTGAGTACCATTAGGGCACTAAGACCTCAGTTTTGAGGGTCTTCTAGTACAAGGTGTCCTACTCTCTGAAAACATCCACTACACAAACCATTAAATTGCTGGAAGCGTGGCATGTCAGCACAAGGTGAAAGAAACTGGAAAACAAGTGAGCTGATGCTTCCTGCCAGGCAGAAGCTGCAATTCAAATGTTTGTTGGGAATCATTGCTCCCATACACAATAAAACAGCAAAAATAATGCAGAGTCACATATCTCACAAAACCCCACATACAGTGTGTTTTGAAGCCTGCAGTTACCTCCTCAGACTACAGCATAGCACTGTTGAAGACAGTATAGGAGAGCTTGGAGAATTATGGACTAGAACTTGTTTGAAGTTTATAACTTACACTGGCAGTGACTGGGAAAAGTATTTCAACTGTCATTTTTTCAAACAAAAATATCCCTACTCCAGAAAAAATACCAAGTTTTGAAAAACAATTGCTGGTCCAAAACACCCAAAATTCCCATTCCCACCATCTTTTTTGCATAAGGAAAAAAAAAAAGGTCTCTTAGGTTTACGACCAGATCCAGTGAAGATAAGAGACTTTCTTTACTGAAAGTTTTCAACTGGATGTGGCAATTCAGAAAGCTGAGCAGAAGACAATCACTGCATCATGCTCAGAGCAATCAGAGTAATAATCACTGAAATAATATCTTCAGAATGGTCGATAATTCTATTATTAAGCATAATAAATCTATGTATAAAAATCAGACCTGCAGGCATGTCACTAACATTAACTGCAAGTTTACTTAATTATTTCAGACATCCTACCTCACTATTGGCTTCAGGAGGTTTTTTCTTTGTTTCTCCAATGTTCAAATAGCTGTGGAAGGAAAAGAGTTTTGATTACTTACAGAAGAAATTAACTTACACAATGCAAATATTTCTGCTATTTTTCATACACAAAGTTTTTAAAATTTAAATTTTAAAATTTATCAAAGTAACTAATTTAAGATTTTAATGAAGGAGTGTTAATATAAACGTGCAGGCTAGCTCCGTGGGCCAATACAAAGTACAGGGGAGAACCAATCATCTACTTTCAAGTCACTGGTGGTTAGTACAGACCACCAATAGCCCCCTTGTCATAAAGAAGCTCACATACTATTGTGATGTGCATCAACAAATCTCAGCACAATATCAACTTACCAGAGTTTTCAAACTCAGCATCTTGCCTCTCAGTTTCTTGCATTAAGTCTCTGATACATTTAAAGCTTTCCTCCATACCCAAGTTTAACCCATGGCATCTGCTAAAGTTTAAAAGGATCTACAGTTGTGTTTCAACAGGACATGGATATATCTAAACACTGTATATCCTGGTTTCTTGTGATGGTGATGAACCAATATAATTTGAACAATTATCTTGTGAATAAAGAAAATACAAGCCTCAACTGGACAAGAAAAAAAAAAAATCTCTATTTGAACAAAACTGCTCTCCTTCACAATAATATTTCCACAAAAACACCGCATTAACACAGACCTGTTAGTTAAAACACACAGTGATGGATTAGCTGTATGCTGCCTTTCCAATGAAAGGGAATTAAATAAGCCTTTAAGCATGAGTAACCCACAGACTGGCAAACAGGCAACTGTCCAGGTACCCAGACTATGCTAACTCCTTCCCCTTGTCAGCACTCTGAGAGCCAGGAAAGTGGTTCTTCTCATGAATGCAGCTCTCAGTATCTTCCAGTACTGCAAGATATTTTCAGTTCTCAGTGCTGCAGGAAAAGACACCTTCATGGGCAGTTACAACTTAGTACAGCAGCACCTTTCAGCACCTTCTACCAAGAACTGATCATGAGGTTAAAAAAAAAACAACAAACCCATGACTGGGGCATCTATTCTATGCAGGGAGCATCTAACTCAACATTAGGTGATAGGCATTTGTTAGAGGTTCTCCCTATTCCTACTTTCAGTAAGAAAGCTTTGCCAGGCTTTTAAGGCTAGAAGATCCTATCTGGGAATGTCAGGTGCAAGCAACAGTGCAGGCTCACCAAAAAAATCTTTCGTAATGCATCTGCAGCCCTCCAGTAATGTCATGTTCTATATTTAATGGCTGGGATAAGATATGTTTGCTAGAGAAAACTTTCCTGCCTGGCTGAAGTTGACAATTCATGGGACCTGAACAAAGGTGTAGAAGCAAGAAAGAAGAAATTCTTTGAAAGAATGGCAATTGTCTATCAAGGAACCACAAAATGGATACAGGGATTTTAAGGCTTGAGTGCGCAAGGACAGTGAGACACAGCAAGGCTTCGAGGCAATGCTTGAAAGTGCATGCCAATGATGTGGCACAGCTGCAGGTCGGGTGGAGAAGAGATTGAGAGCAGCCCTGCAGAGAAGGACTTCGGGGTGCTGGTTGGTGAGAAAATGAACATGAGCCAGCTTCAGTGTGCGCTTGCAGCCCAGAAAGCCAACCGTATCCTGGGCTGCATCAAAAGGAGCGTGACCAGCAGGTTGAAGGAGGTGATCCTGCCCCTCTCCTCTGCTCTCGTGAGACCCCGCTTGGAGTATTGTGTGCAGTTCTGGTGTCCTCAACATAAAAAGGACATGGAACTGTTGGAACAAGTCCAGAGAAGGGCCACGAGGATGATCAGGGGACTGGAGCACCTCCCGTATGAAGACAGTCTGAGGAAGTTGGGGCTGTTCAGCCTGGAGAAGAGAAGGCTGCATGGAGACCTCATAGCAGCCTTCCATGTCTGAAGGGGGCCTATAAGGATGCTGGGGAGGGACTCTTCATTAGGGACTGTAGTGATAGGACAAGGGGTAACAGGTTCAAACTTAAACAGGGGAAGAATAAATTAGATATAAGGAGTTCACAGTTCTTTACTGTGAGGGTGGTGAGGCACTGGAATGGGTTGTCCAAGGAAGTTGTGAATGCTCCATCCCTGGCAGTGCTCAAGGCCAGGTTGGACAGAGACTTGGGTGAGATGGTTTAGTGTGAGGTGTCCCTGCCCATGGCAGGGGGGTTGGAACTAGATGATCTTGAGGTCCTTTCCAACCCTAACTATTCTATGATTCTGTAATATGGACAAGGTAAATGTAGCAACACAAGACAGTATTTAAAAACAAAGTGTGCAAACCTCATGTTCAAAAAACAAAAACAACCAAAAACAACTATTGCAAGTTTCTCCAAAGGAACAAACTCCCCCCCCCGCAACAAAAACAAACAAACAAAAAACCCCACCACAAACAAACAAACAAACAAAAAGTCTTAAAGCCTACAAGACTAAAAAGAAATAAGCTGCTGACCCTGGTTCTTGTTCTCTGGCACCACTGAATTATTTCGAGGAGAACTAAGAAAAGTGACAAAGAAGAGCAAATACACAGTCAAAGGCTTAAATTCACTATGCAGAGGTCTGGGCATTCAGCTGTCAAATTTCAGAGGTCCACAAATGAGAAAAGTTTCAGACAGTGCCAAAGGCTTTTTGTGGGATAACGGCATTCAAAAAAATTCCAGATCAAAAACTTAACCACAGTATATCCACTTGCTAAGAAAGCAGAGATACTTCCACTCAATGACTATCCAAGTTAGTGATAAAACAGCAAAATGTTTAAATGCCAATCACTTTATTTAAGTATTAAACATATCAGCAGCTTATATTGACTACATACCTTCAAAGGTATATTTCATCTAAATATATATATTACATCTAAAGATGTTACAATTCAGTGCTTGGAATGAGAGTGTTAAAGGAGAGCAAAGTTTAGCCTAGAAATCACTGCAGACAGGGAAGAAAAAGATTAATTTCTCAGTATAAGACACCTGAGAAGAAACAAATGCACTGCTTGAAGTGGAGCAATGACACTTTCAGCTTCTGCTTCTCCTTGGATATTCTCTCCTTTCCATTACATTCCCTAACATAAGTGGCACAAGCCATCATTCCAAAGTTCAGTCTATCACAGCAATGAATGTGTTCAATAAGCAACACTCGGGAAAAAAAAATAATGTACAAACTTCTTGTTGCTGTCAGACCAGAGGCAGATCCTTTAGGGCAGACACTTTGGTCTCTTGCAGCTGCAACAGCTTTTATCTTTGCCTGTGACACATAACAGAAACATACGCTCTTTAATTCCTTCAATATCTTTCAGAAAACTGTCCCCTTCAATTAACCCATCCTCTCCTCTGACGTTTATGGATAAGATGACTCCCTAATTACCATTCTGTCTACAACGCAGTTAAGAACAAGATCAACATTAAGCCCTTCATCCTGTCATAAATAATGCTGGTAATAGCACTGCCAACATCTACAGCACTATATAAATAAATAAATACTAATAGTGAAGAACTCGACTTTGAACACAAGGATGGGAAAGATCTCAAGTCATCCCATTTATCCTCTCTACAGTACAGGTCTATGGCATACTATCAAGGGATATACAAACCAACCTTCTCTTAAAAAGTCCTTTAGGCTAGCTTTTGTTAAGGTTTTCTCTTTGGTGACCTTAAATTCTTAGCTATATTGTTTGATGTTGGAGCCATAGAAGTCCAAAAAGCTCCCACCATAAAACTCTGACCATAAAACATAACAAGACGAAAAGGAATGCTTTTTCCCACCCAAAATAAATCCGGAGCGCTCAGTTCTCTACACAGTACATGCTAATGCCAAACACTTACTTACATTTACCCTGTCTGTTGTACATAAAATACATTTTGGGAGGCGAAACATGATGTGCTGACAGCTAACAACTTTAAGCTATCCACAGAATCACAGCATTTAATACCAAAAAGATATGGTAGATCTTTCTTGAGAAATGAACACTGCATTTGACATGGAAGACAGTATAGAGGGAAAGGGACTTATATTTAGCCTGTCACATCTTTCTCTCTTGCTTTGCCACTGAAGCACAAGAAGCTTCAATAAATGTTCAGAAGCAGCCAGTGACAAAAATAGTAAGAGTGCTGACAGAAATCCTGCTCATTACACAGTTTTCTCCTGAAACATCATGAGCTCTCCTGGGAGAAGTAGTGTCTTGAACTCTGCAAAACCAAGATGAGCAAGGTCCCATAAAGCTGCTAGTTTAGCATATAAATTCCTAACCACCTTCAGAAAGGGACTGTTAATTTTGAGACTTTGTTGTTTTGTTTTGTTTTTTTTTTTTAATTCAACTGTAAGAAAAATGCCCACAAAGAAATTCACTGCCAGAATTAAGAACCATTACTGATCACATGCAGAGCCACTCAGGAATCACACCTAAAAGCCCAAATCTCCTCCATGATACCACCCCAGTCACTCATTAGAAAACAGAGAAACTGTCATCTCAATTCTTGGTATCAAGGGAGGGAACAGAAAGCAAATAGTCATCCTTTAAGTAACAGGAGGGACTCAGGTACTGCGGTCATAAAAAGTCTAGATACCTACCCAAAATGAACAGAAGTAATGGAGAGGTGGATAGCTAGGCAGAATAGTTTAGACTTTATAAAATAAGCAAGAAAGTGTTGGGAATTAAATTCCCAGGCTCATCAGCTTCACAGCAGGACTGTCAAGACTCCACCTTTCTGCAGCTTTCTCCCTCTTACCACTCACCCCTCAGTTAAAAACACGTATCACAACATCATGCCATTGCTGCATGTCCTTCAAGTTAAAAGGCTGTTTCTCCTTTTCTACCGTCACGTCAAGGGAATGGCACTACGTGACTGATGGTCACAGCAGCCTTTCTGTGTCTTGCAGCTCTTGTGCAGTTTTATCTGTTACAAGCACCTTTCCTTTTGCCTTGGGTTGCAGTCATTTAAGTCCTCTTTCTGCAATGCCTAATAAAGGGGGTGGGAGCCTTCTAAAGTAACACCACAGCGCCAAACCCCGAATCCTGATATTCAAGTTCCATACGTATCTGATATTACTTTTTAGCCACTCACTTGAGTTTTTTGAAGGCTTCCCTGCCACCAGCCACATACTGCTCTCCACTTCGAAGCTCCTCCAGCTGCCGGACACGATGCCCACCCCGGGGGGTATAGATGTTACGCACAGCTCCGAAGGGTGCCTTCACCCCAGCTGTCACCTCTTTCAGGAATACCTCAAAGTTGGACACTTTCTTCTCACTGATGACAATGCGGTGCCCCGGGAAGAAAGGGTCCCCGTTCCGATATACCAGCAAGCTCTTCACCGTCGGCTGCGAGAGCCACGACCCCTTTGTGCCAGTACTAGTCATGCTCGGTGGCTTCGGACCTCCCGGTGCCTGCACCACCAGTTTACTCAGGAGAAGGCTCCTGCTCGAGCAACCCTCTCACCTCTGCCCTGACAGCGGAGTGAAGCGCACACACCCAGGCGAGGCCTGGGCACCAGGGCCCACCTCCAAGGAGGCAGAGGAGGGAGCCCGGGGCCGCGGGGAGGGACCACAGCCTCCCCAGGGCTTGCGGCACAGCTCAGGTCAGCCTCTTGAGAGCGGCTCTTCCTTGGCAACCAGCTCCTGCTGCTGCTGCTCCCTGGCACCTGGGGAGGTTAACGCCGATTACACTAACCCAGGCAAAAAAACACAGACAAAACCAAAACAACAACATTGCATGGAGGTAGATCCTACACAGCTGGAAAATGGACTGCAGGGGACCTACGGCCTCCCAGGGTATTTATCCTCTAGCCTTGCCATTACGGGAAGCGACTTGCCGCTGCCACCCTGGTTTCCTCGGGGAACTTTATCCCGGGTTTGTTCGTCCTCCCCCTTGCCCAGCCAGGCGACAGCCTACTAGGAGCCTGACGGACCCAGAGCCACCGCACAAAGCACTGCTCAGTTATTCACCGGACGGGGGCTGGGGGAAGGAGAACGAGGAGGCGTCGTGTCTAGAGGCACGGCGAAGGACGCGGGGGCAATATGGGCAGAATGTAAACGGACCAAGGGCCCCGCACCTGAGCGAGCGAGAGAGCGAGGGGGGATAGTCCCCGCTCTGCCTCCTCCTCCCCAGCAGCTCAGGCGCTGCAGTGCGATGGGGGCTCCCCGCCACAGAGGAAGGTACCGGCCACTGAACTGCCCTCAGCGGGGAGCGGCGGCGGAGGTGAAACCTTGAGCCGGGTTAGCGCTCCCACCGCCAGCCCGGGCAGGGAGAATGCGGTGCCCAGGTCCGACCAGGCGCGGCGGAGCTGCCGTGAGATGGCGGTTCCACACAGGCGAGCGGCCGGTAAGCGCCGTTAACCGCCGGTAACAGACCCCCGCGCCGCCTCAGAGGGACCGCCGTTCGCATGGTGGTGAGTACAGGATTAACCACCCGCAAGTCTGTCCCTGACGGGCCCTGGCCCCGCCGTGATGGGCCGGAAGGTAGGCGGTGGCAGGCAGGGGCCGCGGCCGGTAGAGGAGAAGGAGGGAGTGAAAACCACGTTATTTCATTCACGTCTAGCCAGCTCTTGGGGTTTCTTACTGAACGGGTCAATTATTTCCTTCTCAAGAATAAACCAGACTTTTACTAGACCTTTTAGATCAAGGTAACGAAAACGCTAGGCAGGTGCCCTGGCGTGGAGGTAAGGGCAAGGTTCAGCCGCCAGCAAAAAGGCAGTTTCTACAACACGAGTGACTGCTTCAAGCGCTCTGCCCTGGCTGCTTCTGCGTATTCCCTTGCTGAATCTGACACATGCTTTCTCCAGTGAAGATTTAGTTACTTGCTGCCTGGTAATTGCCTTTGGTTCATGATTAACGTCTAACGATTCCCAGTTGTGTGTACAGGAAGGTCCATGCACAAAACAAACGAACCACTGAAGTCATACTTGCTGTTACTCTTTCTTCTTGTCAGTTACTAAAAATTCCTCCTGAAAATTGGATCTTTGCTGCAGGTCTACCATCTGAATGGGCAAAATTTGCTAGTAACACAGAACTAAGCTGCACCTCCCCTGTGTCTGGGTAATTTTATTTTGCTATTTGCATTGGAATATTTGAAGGCTTTTCGGTACTCCCGGTATTCTTTGGTTGAGTAAGTCTGCTATAATTTGTTCTCTTAAGCATCCAGGATCAGTCACAAGAAGTAATATCACTCCTGCTGAGCTGGCCCAAACCTGCAGTTCTGTCTGGAAAATTTCAGTTAATGAGACTCAGCGATGATTTGCCCTACTAAACCAAGATCAATTTGAAATACAGCATGAACAGTAGCCTGATAAATCAGAAGAATATCCTCGGGCACAATTTATTTTAAACAAAAATACATCAACAAAATGAAACAGAAAAACAATAGACAAATGTGGTTTAACAAAACATAAACGTGGACAACAAAACGTAACACACCTGATTCAAAGAACATGATGTAAAGTCAAATGAGATTATGTTGCAGTCTTTCTTAAGTCGATTTCTATAATTCTGCATAGTAGGTATGATATAGCATGTATAAAAAATATATTTTTATACCTATTAAGAACCAGATCCAATGGCTGCCATCATCAGAAGACTTCCTTATGTTTCATAGATAACTATATTGGATCATGAAATCATACTGATACCATTTTAATCTTAAACTATTAAAAAAACTTTGTAAACAAATGATCCACTTGAAGCTGCATTTTCTTGCTAATTGTCAGCCAAACATCTCCAGATTGTCCAGTGTTTGAGAAGTAATTTTGGATATTGCATTATCAGAATAGTAGACCTGTTTAATCTCAGATTAATAAAATTTGTAAAAAATCAATCAAGAGTGGGTCTTACAGGCTTACTCAATGTACAGACAAGTCTCTGGTGTGTCCAGACCACCAAAATTCTGACTACAGAAAAGTTTTTTTACTTGACAACACTTTAGGCATACTTGGGACATGCCTTTTGGCCATACTTTTTAATGCTGTCTGCTTTGCCCTTTCCAGGAAGCTGCATAATAAAATACAGAGGCTTTGATTCCACTGGATTTTTGCCACAGCTTGGGTACAAGAAGCGGTGAAACCTGAGAGAAAATAAACAGAAAATGTCTTAAATTTGAACTGAAGTCCTTTAACAACCCCGTTTCCCCTCTGGTTGTTGCAAGACTAGAACTGGTCTAGATCTTCCTACCTGGAATTGCTTAGTGTACAGTAACAATTGCTCTTCCAAATGGATTTTAACACATGTGATGGAAAGAATTTTTCTTCCCTTTTATCTTGGTTCCTTTGATGGGAAAATTACCCCCCTGCTGTGAGTTACAACAGGGCAGTTAAGCATTACAGAAAGCAATTTCAGGGTGAGGGAAGTCAAATATGCTGTTACTGGTTAACAGTTCAATTTCTCTACTTGCTGCTGGTTTGCTTCTGTCTAGTAAAGGGGAGAACCAAACATTTACCATCCGCAAATTAATACTGCTTAACACTGATCTGTTGCAACCTGAAATGAAAAAATACATTAAAAATATGCCTAAGTTTAAACACCAAAAATGCTGATGACCTTCACATCATTCTGCAGTCAAGTAGTGATATGCCAACTATTTGTCTACTATTTTGTGCCAGATTTTCCCACTTAAGGTGATCTTAGGCCTAATTTGTGATTACACATTGTCTTTGGCATAGGTATAAACCACTGAGTATTTTACCTGTGCATCTGTTTTGACATTTGCGCTACTCCAGAATACTGTTGGTCTTTACCTATAGCCGTACTGCTTACAATCACTTTTGTGGATTGCAGTAAAACATCCCCTGAATGATACCAGAGACTTAAAGCAGCCTGAACTGGTAAGCAAAATCTTTGGCCAAAACTGGGAGCACATTACAAATCCTTTGCATAATTGCAATGCAGAATCTTGCCCATAGTTTAAGCTTTCCATAGCTGATAGCAATGCCTCATAAAGACTTCATCTCTCAAATTCAGCTGCTTGCGTTTCTGCCATCTGTCCCCTTACTTGTGCTACAGTGGAATCTCACTGTTTTCCTATTCTTAAGGCACGACCTTGAAATTCAGCTCCTGAAAAGCAACCATGACTGTCTAGTGCACAACGGGCCCATTACCTCACACAAGTCTTTTCAGGATGAAACGTTTTCTTCAGTGATAGGAACAAAAAACAAACTCAGAGTATTTCCAGTGTTAGTATGTTTTCTGTCTTGCCTTAGTGCAACCATTGCCCAAAAGCTAAGAAAATCTCAAGCACTTCAGCTGATGATAGCAGCCTTCATTTATGAGAATCTGCTCTTTCTAGCCTTTGCAGGGCTGGAGCGCTTATTCCCACTGTTGTTTCAGTTCCTAAGCAATCTCCTGTCACATTCTCCACAGTAACAAGAAAAGCTGCTGAACCCACTGACGCAATTAATATAAATCCAGAGACACATAATCTCTTTGTGATGGAGCAATGTCAGACCTCTCATCTTACTTGGAGTCAGGTCAAGTGTCGGGATCACATGATGGACCTGAAGTCAATGAGCACATACTGGGGGATGTCATGAAAACAGAGCCATGGCATAGTGACATAGCATCAAATAGGGTCACTTTTTCTGCACCAAAATGCTGTGAGGTCTCTGGCATCTCAGGATCAGGAGCGATTTTGCAGCTTGTTGCAGGTCCCTGGCAACAAGGCTCAGTGACAGCAAAACATGAGGTCATGAAGACAGGAACATGTCCTAGTGCTGAAGACTGACAGAATGCAAAATGATAAAGTTTCTAAATACAGAGAACAAAATTCAGCTTGTTCGATTGTACACAGTGCTGAGACTCACACTTAATAACTACACCTTTGTGCAGCTTATCTAAAAATCAGACTAAGCAATAGCAGCCACTTTATTCCCAGTTGTAATTCTGGGGTGATCAGACAGTCTGAACTGACAGTTTAATGCATGTAAATACTGGGGAGTTCAGCTTTCAGACACATGCACTAACTGGAAGAAACAAAATACTGATGCAGTTGGGCAGTTGTAAATTTTAAAACCCATGTCTTAGCAATTTCACATTCTTCTACAACTGCAAGATCAAAACCTCCTTAGAATACCAGGATCAATTATTTTTTTCTTAAATAAAGCATTAACCTTAGTTGAAGCTACAGCTTTTGATGACATGTCTTAGAGTTCTAACCATTCTTGAGAGAGCTGAGATAATAAAGGGTGACCTAGGAAAAAGGCTTTTGCAAACCCTTAAAGGCATATGAGGAAATAGTTCTCCATGAAGAAGCACATTCCAGGGGGTTAGCTTGAGGTAAAAAGTTTAAAAATATCTCTCATGTGGTCTTTGTATAGAAAGTGAAGGTATGCTCTCTAGGCAAAGATTTCTCAGTGTGTCATGGGAGCCACCTTTGATA